CGGGGCATCACCGTTTGAGGTTGGCTTCACATAGCCAACAGGATTTGGGCATCGGGTCCTATAGTTGCGCCATTTCCCGCAATTACTACACTGTCGTGGTTCTCCTTTCTTCCTTTTAGATTTTTTAGCCCCCGAACCTTTAGCTTTGACCTGTAATGGATCCAACAAAATATCATTCGCCTTCGGTCTATTAATGCCGGGTATGTCCATGTTGCCAGTGTCCACCATGTCCAGCTTTTCACATAATGATTGAATTCCCTCACGAGCAATCTTGAAGCACTCACTAGATTTTGGCCCTTTTAACATTAGTTGTAAGCTGTTTTGTTGAATAGTACCATACCTGATTGACACAATATTTTATACAAAGTGAGTAAAATTAACGTTCACCTAGCTTCGAACCAATATTAAAAAAAAGTGATAGTCATGGCAAACCTCAATGCGAAAAGTTGCGATTCATCTATTATGTCCGGTTCCTCCAAGCTCTCTAGTGTCTTCGGCTTCTTTGACCATCTTCGACGTACTAGGCCTTCAAGAAGTTCCAGTATGCTCTCTTCTTTCAGTACAAAAATCATATGACGGCATGGTATTCCCATATAATCGTAGTGATTACAACTACACTCCATTGCAAAGGGTTCAACTGTGTACGTGACTTGAAAAACCTTATCCATGCCAGACACCTTGACCTTGTACACACGCTCAATTTTCGATCACTCTGACTCCACCCTTATGCAACATGCCAACTTTTCAACCTCGTCTCTGAATAAGAAGAATGCGTTCTTTGTGAAAACCGCCGCTCCACTCTTCTGAAGTGAGACTAAGACATTGCTTGTGATGGTTCGTTCTCGATGAATCGATTCAAAATCAGCATGACGCTCATTCTCCCTCATATCCCTAGTCCAACGATCAAAATGTGAATAAAGAACTCAAGGAGATTTTTATCCTTCTCGATATAATTGGCAAGTTGAGAGTTCAGTGTCCTTCACATCTTGATGTTGTACTCAAGCCTGCGAAGAACTTCGAACGCAAATATGCTAACCCCCATTCATGTCTTTGCTCAAATAAATTGGAGACCCAATTGTTGTGCTGAAGGGAGCATTCCTCAATCACTGATTTCCACTTTTCTTCGAATTCTGAAGGTTCCCAATCAGCTGACACAAAATGCTTCCATCGGGGCAAAAAAGTAGGATGATTCTTCACATTTATGGTTATAGTCTTGTCTATATGCCAGGAACATAGACGATGTGTTGCATCGGGAAATACTTTATGAATAACATTACGCATTGCTTTATCCCCATCTGTAATAACAGTCTTGGGATCTACACCGCCTAGCCTTCTCTTCAAAGCTCCCAACACCCAAATATAATTTTCTTCTCTCTCGTTAGCCAAGAAAGCACATGCAAATACTCAAGTTTGTGAATGGTGGTTGACACCTAAAAAAGTACAAAATAAGTTAGATTATGCAAACTGCTAGGGTTATTTTAGCATGCTTGGGATAATTCTATGTGTGAAGGAAAAGTACCTGAAAAAATCACGAGAGGCATCTGGTAAATGTTCCTTTTGTAAGTAGCATCGAATGACAGTAATTCTCCAAAGCATACATAATAAGTAACAGACACACTATCGGCCCACAAGATGTTAATAAGCCGGTCGTTGTCATCCTTCTTTAGTTCAATAACGAAATGATCCTCCGCGCTGCATTTAGCTTGCAGGTAGGTGATATACCGTTATTTACACATGTTTTTACCCCCGTTCTTACACCGTTTGAGGTGTTGATTCTCGTGTTTTAGGCCGATTTCACGCTAGGTTGTGCTTGTTTGTGATATTTCAGGTCCTAGTACGTGAATGGAGGCTTGGGAGCGAGTCTGGGGTCGATTGGACGAAGATCGGACGCGTGGCGAGGTGTCAAGGAAGCCGCACGGGCAGACCGGGGCATCACACGGCCGTGCAAGTGAGCAAGGTGGCCGTGTGATTTTTGCCGAGGCCAAACACGGGCAACTCATGAAATCCACACGGCCGTGCAACCCTGACCGTGTGAGAAGCCTGAAGATCGAACTAACCCATACGCTGCGTTTTGACTCGCACGACCACTTGGGTGAGCCACACGGCCGTGTGGCCTGCCCGTGTGAGTCGGGAAATTCTGGTTTTTGAGCCAATTTCGAGCCAAGAGTGAGGGAATCGGATTTTCAGAGCAAAAACAGAGCCCTAGAGAGAGAAAGTACGAAGAACACATCCTAGAAGCTATCTTGGAGCTGGTTTCATCGAATCAAGCTTGGAGATCGTCATAGGAGTGGAAATCATCATCCCGGAGCAGATTTTCCTCATTATTATGAGTATGACTACTCCGATTACTGTTTTCTCTTCTCTCTCTATGGAGTAGAACCCTTCTCTCACTTGGGTATGAAGAACCCTAGTTCCTTGTGTTAGGGATTTGATTGTAGTAACTTGGGATGATATTACTGTTTGATTTTAATCGAATGATGCATGTTTATTGAATTGATTGGAGTCTGATCAGCTTTTCTCGATTTCTGCTGCAACCTGAGATAGATAGAATCTGATTAGGTTGTTAGAGCCTCTTCATTCGATAGTAGGAGATTGGCTATACGAGAGTTAGCCAGTTTACTGCTTTGTACTGGAACTCAATTCCAGTAGTGGAGTTCTGTGTTCATAGCCTCAGCTTTCTATCCCGGTGAAGACTAGTCGTCTGCCGGGTAGTTAGACTGAGAGGGCTTGGTCAGCTTAAGAGATTCCAAGCTACTGTCGGAACTTCCGCAGTCTAATCAACAGTGAATCAACCCAGGGGAATCACAATTGAACCTAACTAAGGGGCTAGGGGACTCAATCCCGAGTGACTCTTTCCTGACTTTGAAAACCGAATTATTACTTGCTTTCTTACTGCTTTTGCTTTAAACAACAATCACTCGAATTAGTTTGCTAGATAATAGATAATCACGGAGTAAGCAGTAGATCTAGACCCCGGGTTGATAATAGAACTTGCCTGTTACTGCATTCCCGGACTGCGATTACACTTGGTCGCAGTTTGGTGTTGTGTTTTGGCGTGCCAGTAGGCTAGGGCTGTTGCGGCATCACCTTCACTGATTTGTTCTTTCCTCTCTTTGTCCACATAATTATATGCATCCTTCCTCGTGTACCCCAAATTGTCGTAGCCTCCTACTTTTGATATGGCCAGATTCACAATTTGAGAAGTTTCATACCTGCAGCTCTTCTAAAATTTATCGCTACTTTGACTGCATCACTCATACGACGTTTCCCTTTCATGTAGTGTCTATATTCTCTGGGGATCGTTTCATGTGTGTGTACATCATCAAACTGGTGCACATACCACTTCACATTGACCTTGTCGTGTTTAACACATCTTGGCTCTGCAGTTAAATCTGGTCTCCCCTCTTGCTTCTCTCTTTCGTTCTGTGCTTTCATGCGCCTCTTTCCCTCGGCAGAGCATACATAGTCACGCCATATCATAACTTGGTTCTTATCACGACCAATGTCTGATTTTCTGATGTCAAAGCCTTTGACTAACCCGTAGTCCATGTAGAAATCATAGGCTTCTTCTATATCGAACTTCATTTTTTTAATATCTTCAGGCTGTAGAAATATGAGATCGGCGACATTATCTTCCTGGGTTGTGACTGGCTCCGGCACCATCGTTTCTTGGACTGGCTCCACGTCAATAGTAGGACTGCCTCCGACGTCAATGGTGGGTCTGCCTCCGACGTCATTGTCACTGCGGAAATTTTGGGGAACCAAGATAGAGATTACAAAACCCTACTGGGAATGATGGCCGAATTAATGCTTGAATGGGCCACTTAATAATTATCCCATTAAACCAATCATAACACGATTTGTGATATCTTATTTTTTTGTAGGAACGATTTGAACTCTATTTTTTATCTTAGTGATTTCTTTCACCATTTTCAGAAATAACGAAAATATTTAAAATGAAAAGGAATGCTTAGTAAAGCCAAACGCCAGCTGACTCTATCTGTACTACGTATGGGGAAGGATCAAATATTAATATGAGCGAATATTTACTAATAGCACTCAATTTTTTATCAATCGAAAAAAAATATATTTTTATTTTAGGTTTAATAACTACCCATGTTTTCCCAAGTTCATGTACCTTAGACTAAACCCTAACTATTTTTCCGCGGGAAAAATATGCCCACACATTTATCCTAACCTTGTATATATAATTCCTTCAGCGGTAGTAGAGCAGTGGTTCCATATCCTTCTTTGCCGCAATTTTGAGTACAGACTAAAGCTTAGAGGCACAACATGGAAAATAGGAGGATTACTCTCGCTCTTCGTCCAAGCTTTGGTATGTCTAATAGCTCTTTAACCATTGAAATTCATTCTAGTTAATTTATTAATCGTAGGTTCACTGTCATTGAAGGAGACCGAATTTGTGTCCAACAAAGAAACCAAGGCTACCCAAAGGTGTAAGCACTCCACCTCCACTCCTGCTTCAGTCATCGTTTTTATTTCGGACGATGAATCTGACTCTGAGGTAACACCAAAGAAGCCAAATGGAAAAAGTATTTCTCTAAGTTCTGTTGACAAGGTAATAAAGGTGTCCTATTTGCCATTGAAGTGTTCTTTGCCGTTATTCCGTCAGACATAAGAATGCATTTCGACTCGTGTTTATTTGTGGTCCCTATTCCAGGTTGTTTTGAAGTTTAAGCTACCTACTGGTATGGAATACGATGATGAGCAAATCCAGCTTGCTCACTATATATTTTTAGCCATCTGCCACCTGACGAAGTATTGGTCAAAACCTCAAACAACTCTTGTACCAGGAAGTCATTGTGGTCCTTAAGCCCTCGCTCATTCGTAGATGCTGAAGTAATCAACGGAACTCCAAAATTTTGTTTTGTTTGTCATAAGCGACTGCAAGTATAAATAGCTACACTTGAATCAGCAAACAAAAACCACCAATAGACATAGTCATTCCCATCTTCCCTCTCTAATCCGAGAAAACCAAAATGGGCAGTCTCAATGGCCACAACCAGCTTCACGTCTACTTCTTCCCGTTCATGGCGCACGGCCACCTGATCCCGGCCGTCGACATGGCCAAGCTCTTCGCTTCCCGAGGCGTCAAGACCACCATCGTCATCACCCCTCTCAACGCCGCCTTCTTCTCCAAAACCATCCAAAAGCACTCCTCGTCGGGCCGGGCCGAGATCCAGGCCCGAATCATCGACTTCCCGGCTGCCCGGGCCGGGCTGCCGGAGCAATGCGAGAACCTCGACTTCATCACCTCCCGAAACTTGGGAATGGAAGCCACCATCAACTTCTTCCGGGCCTCCACCATGCTCCAGGAGCCCTTCGAGAAGCTTCTGGAACAAGACCGCCCCGCCTGCGTGGTGGCCGACATGTTCTACCCGTGGGCCACCGAATCCGCCGCCAAGTTCGGGATCCCCAGGCTGGTCTTCCACGGCACCAGCTGCTTCGCTCAGTGCGTCGGCGAGGCCCTGGCGTCCCACGCGCCGCAGCAGCGAGTGGAGTCCGATGCAGAGCCCTTCGTAGTCCCGGGGCTTCCGGATGAAGTCCGGCTGACCAAGCGCCAGCTGTCACCTTCGGCGGCTCTGGTTGGCGGAACCAGTTTCCTGTCCCAACTTTTCAAGAGAGTCAGGGAGTCTTACTCCGAGGTCTACGGGACGGTCTTCAACAGCTTCTACGAGCTGGAACCCGCTTACGTGGACCATTTTAGGTAGGAGTTAATTTCTCACAATACGGTTGGTTGGTAATCAAGTAATTAACTTGACGATTTAATTATTATCTCGATCTGTGTAATGTAATTAATTACAGGAAGATTCTTGGAAGGAAGGCGTGGTATGTGGGCCCGGTCTCGCTTTGCAACGGTGACGTGGAGGACAAGGCCAGCCGCGGGAAGGGAGCGGTGATCGACAAAGACGAGTGCCTGAAATGGTTGGACTCCAAGGAAGCAAACGCCGTCGTTTATGTATGTTTCGGGAGTCAAGCGGATTTCACTGCCCAACAGCTGAGGGAGATCGCGGTCGGGATCGAATCCTCCGGTCAGCCATTTATATGGGTGGTGCGTGGTCGAAACGACGTCGAAGAGGATTGGCTGCCCGAAGGATTCCAGGAGAGGACCGCAGGAAGAGGACTAATAATCCAAGGCTGGGCTCCACAGGTAGGTCTTAGTTGATCCGAATAAATGAATCATGTTTAATTATAGATTACATAACATTTATTAATATATTGATTCCTTGAATCATAACATAATTAATTTGTTTAACTTTAACATAAGGGAGGAACATGCACATGCAGGTTCTGATTCTGGAGCACGCGGCGATAGGAGGATTCGTGACGCACTGTGGATGGAACTCGACGCTGGAGGGGATTGCGGCGGGGCTGCCGATGGTGACGTGGCCGATGGGGGCAGAGCAGTTTTACAACGAGAAGCTGGTGACGGAGGTTGTGAAGATTGGCCTTGAGGTTGGGGTGGAGCAGTCATCGACCTACGGAGTGAAGATGATACGTAGCGAGGCGGTGGAGAGGGCAGTGCGTCGAATCATGTCTAAGGAGGATGAAGTGATGGCGGAAATGCGCCGGAAAGTGAAAGGGCTCGGGGAGGCGGCGAGGAAAGCTGTGGAAGCAGGGGGTTCTTCGTACGCTGATTTGGGTGCTCTGATTGAGGAGCTGGAATTGATGTCTTGACGTACGTGGGTGCTAAATTAATGGAGCGATGCCTATGTTAAACATAAATTAGAGTGATGATTTCAGTAAGGGGGTTATACCCTCACATAGAATCCATCTAGAATTTCATATCCCATGTATGGAAATTGGAATTTCATCACATTAAAATATTTATGAATAAATTGACTTGAACTCAAAAGTCATGTACAAAACACATGCATATTCTTCTACTTTTATTCACACTAGTTTTTTTACCATCGCTTCACGGCGGTAAGAAAGTAATTATTTTGAAAACTTTATCCACTCGTTACATGATTTATTTTTATTTTTTTCGGTAATTGGATATGTATTTTATTTAAGCACGACTTTGATCAAGATAATCAAGCTCTCGAAAAACTGAACCTGTCCACACTTACATGGAAACTAAGAATACTACCTACCTCCAGTACATCCCACTGGCGGGTAAAAGTAAACCAAACTGCAAATTTCCTAAGCTATACAGATGTATTTCATTACGTATAACTTGTATAAGGGCTTGGCTAGACCTCTGTTGCTTCTATAACACTCGAAGATTCCTTTCCTTCCATAGCATCCCAACAATCCAGCACCATACAGAACCATAAAGAAGTCATATCTTCCACTGCTGCTGCACCATCGCACAAGCTTGTTGCAAACAGCCCTGCCACGATGTTAGCCAACTAATGTTTGGAAAAAACTGCAGAAGAACGGCAGAGGAATATGGACAATAGAAGAAAAGATGATCCCTTGTCTCTTTGGAGCCTCCACAAAGCATACAAACATTATTATCAACAATACCCCAGTCCAATAGCTTATCTTTAGTGTTTATTCGATCTAGCACTACTAACCACGTAAGCAATCGATACTTTGGAACACAAAACTTTCCCCACAACACCTTATATCAATCAACAACTGGCTGTTTAATACGGATTGAGCGCCAGATTTACTTAGCTGAAAATTTGACCATCTGCTTGCCCTCCCAACATACATGGCCTGGCCCCAGAACATTAAAAGGAAAGTGGAACCAGGGACTAATCTCTAAGCAGTCGTCTCCAAACCCAGGAGCCAGCTGAGTTGGGCTTGATATCCCAGATTGACCTGCTCTTTAACCGATATTTAGTAATCCAAGCAACCCAAAGGCTACCCCCTGATTAATTGATTTATTGAAACCAAATAATTCAAAAAATAGCTCAGGTAAGATACTTTCATAAGTTTTATGTAGTGTCTTAATCATAATCCAATATTTACGTGATACATGTGTTTCATTATTATATAATAAATAATTATATTTTTATAAGTTTTATGTAAATTTTCAATAATTATGAAAGAATTCATAATGTGTTTTTTTAATATTGATATATAAGAAATAAATATCCCTCCATAAGTTTTAAGCAATGTATTTATAATTTATATAACTGTTCTAGAGTATTGTTACATAAATCTTCTGTAATATCCATCCAAATATGAAAGTATCATATATTTAATTAAGTCTCCGTCGATCATTTTTATGTATTTTCTTAATCATTATGAAAACCTTACGTATTACGCTTATTAAATTGATATATAAGAAATAACAATCATTCTGGAGGATTTAAACAATGTATTTATAGCTCAAGTAATTAATAAATTTCATGAAATTGTTGTGTAAAATTTAAGGGTGTGCCTACGGTGACATGCATGTCACGGTGACTTGCACTTTCCGGTTGATCTCAGTTAGGATTAGGTCGACCTCATTTAGAATTCGGTCGAACTCATATAGGATCTGGTCGACCTCATTTAGGCTTCGGTCGACCTCATATAGGATCAGGTCGACCTAATCTGTTGTTTCAGTGTAAAAACAATTCATGGTGCCTACTTTGGATATTCATATCATACAATTGGCTAGATGGAAATTGAAGACTAATGACTTGTTTTGAAGCTGTAGTGTCCCTCTACATATTGAAGTGATTGAGAGCTCGATAGGAAGTCCAGAAGACCATTTTTGAACCTCATCAAAAGGCTATGCCAAAACTGGGAAACTGCCTGGAAATGGCTAAGTCTTGAAACGTGTTTGTGAAGCCCATTTTGGAGCTCAATTCGAGAAGCATGAATGCGAGTCGAGTCTAGGAGCCTCATCCAGTGTAATTGACTAATTTTTGAATGTATGAATCCTTTTGGCTAATACATTATGCCCAAAATCCCGTTGTTTACCATGGTTTTTACCACGTTAAATTAGGTATGTTTTTATACAAATTCAAGACATTGGATGAAAGATTGGATATCTTTAAGGCTTCAAACAAAAGGGTCGAAGTTGCTACGAAGGCTGCTTTTCTGGCAGACTTCGAACACAAGCAAACTGCAAAAAAAAAAAAAGCCTTCGTAGCAACTTCGAGCCTTTTGTTTGAAGCCTTAAAGATATTCAATCTTTCATCCAATGCCTTGCCTTTGTATAGAAAAATACGTAATTTAACGTGGTAGAGGCCCCTGGACTTGACTCACATCCATGCTTCTCAAATTGAGCTCCAAAGTAGGCTTGACAAACACGTTACCAGACTTAGCCATTTTCAGGCTATTTCCCAGTTTTGGCATAGCCTTTTGGTCAGGTTCAAAAATGGTCTTCTGGACTTTCTATTGAGCTCCCAAGTACTTTAATGTGAAGAGGGACACTTCAGCTTTAAAACTAGCCTTTAATCTCCAACTTCCATCTAGCCAATTGTAAGATATGAATCTCCAAAGTAGACACCATGAAACTGTTTTTACATTGAAACAACAGATTAGGTCGACCTAATCCTATATGAGGTCGACCGAAAAGTGCATGTCACCGTGACATGCATGTCAACGTAGCAAAGTCCAAAATTTAAATGGTCTTATAAAATGTTTTCATAATAAAACAAATCGTGATATGTTGATATTTTAGTCAACATAAAGGAATCATGCTAGGAAAACGCATAATTAAACTGTTATGTAAAAATTATTGACTTTATAAAAATTTTAGGCTTAATACACCTGTATAGCCATAAATTTTCACTTTATGACAACAATAGACACATTTTGAAAAATACACTAAAATAGTCATTCCGTTAATAACTTTAACAGAATCATCATCAATATTGACGGACTAACATCTTTTGATGACATGGAGATTTTTCTCAAACGTCATGCCAGGTGGAAGTACTCAAATACAAAAAAAAAGAACATAAATAAAACAAAAAAGGATAAATCACATCTCCCTCTTTACGAACCCCTCAACCAACCCATCTCCCTCTCCGACGATTGGAGCTCTTCCTTTTTCTTCTTTCTCCGCCAGGGTATTCATATTGTTCTTTCCCCGAGTAGCTGGTATCGTCGTTGCCGAATCATCCACCTTTCTCCACTGTTCGTCATTCGGCTCGGAGTGAAACAAATCGAAGAGAACGAGAGCCACTCCGCAGCGTCGATTGTCGAAACCCCAACCACCGGCAATGCTCGGCTGTCTCCGACACCGATTTTCAGATCCAGTCGTGGTCTTAGAGGCGCGGGTTTGCAGCCGCATATCATCTCCAGATCTGCCACCGCCTTTTCCATTCTTCTTCACCAAGAACTCCAGAGCTCACCGGAGAGATTGAGACCGTAGTAGACCTCCGACCCGCCGCTACCCCTTATCATATCTGCTTCAAAATCAAGACTTTTTCAATTTTTGCTTTCTTGCTTGATTGAATGTCAGATTCGAAATTGTAGGGTTTCTATGTTTATTGAAGTGGGTTGAATTAGTCGTCGGAGGTGGATTTATTGGTGATAAGTTCAGTGCGCATTCTTATAGTCAGAGGTGGATTTTGGCATTTGGATTTTTCTCGTAAGTGGACAAGCTAATTTAGGCAAGGTAAGGAAGGTTCTTGATATGGTGTTCGCTTTGTAGGAGATGAGAGACACTTAAAAGAGTTAATTTTGTCAGTCCAATTTTGTGTTTCAATCGCAGATTTGGGTGCAACCACTGCAGACGCCGAGGTCGTCGGGACTCCCCGTCGAGAGGGAAGGATTAAAGAAAAATAGAAATAGAAAATTATTGAAATAATACTTTATTTTTTGAAATTATTTGGAGTTTTTTTTTCAAAATAAGAGGTGGCATAACGAGTCTAGTTGGAGCTTATGTGTCGTCTAGGTGGCATCCACGTCAGATTAACATCCATTTAACTGACGACATTCCTAACGCCGTTAAACTTTGTAACAGAAATGGCTAAAGTTGTCAACCTAGCTTCAAAAGTATGGCTATATTTGTGTATTTTTTGAAATTTGGCTATTATTGTCACAAAGCAAATAGTTATGGCTATGCGGGTGTATTAATCCAAAATTTAATGTGATGTAAATTGATGAGAATGTCAATATTTTTCATTCAAACTTATATTACGAAGACTTGCATAATACGTTAGTTTAATTTATAAATAAGAAATAACTTTCTGTCATGAACCTTTACATAGTATTTTTATCATTATTGAAGACTTACATCATTCATTTGTTTAATTGATACATAAGAAATGATTATCCATCCATAATCTTTACGTAATGCATTTGTATTTTACAGGAACTTTATAGAATATTTTTACATAAATCTTCCTTAACATGTGGTTCAGTAATAAAATCAAGTTACCGACCTTAGGGAATCTTTAAAATTTAAATTATGCAAATGAATGAAATAGTGGATACTCTCGCTAATAATAAAGAAACTATAATTAATAATAAAAATATAAATTACAAAAAGTATCACGTTTGATTTTAATTAGGGTTTATTGTTAAAGTTAGGTACTACGTACTTATAAGAAATTTGAATCTAAGACCTTTATGCTCGAGTCCAGTAATATGACCACCGGTTCACTCATCATGGGAGTAGTAGAATAGTAATTGGAGATACTAGATTTTGATAGTGAAAGAAAAAACCCCAAACAGATTCCTTTTTCCTCCGATGCACAGGTGTGGGAAGTAATTAAAAGAAGAAGATGAAGGCAAGCAAAGTTGAGGAAAAGAGAAGTAGTGCAATGCAGACGAAAGAGAAATTAGAAGTGGATGCTTGATTGCCGACAAACAGGTGGGACTTGGGTCTATCTTAGAGAGCGAACCACATAATAAAAGGCTCAAGATAGAGTGAGTAATTTTAGAGTGAGTAACAATGAGTAATCAAATCTGGACCCTTCTTTTAAGTGACTGCAGATCTAAGGGTGGAGAATTAAATGAATTTATTTTCCCTAGTTATCTTAATTGGATCATATCTTCTTCATTCTATCTCGGATTTCAATTTTTTTTGCACAGATGAAACGAGTTCGTTGTGCTCTACAAAATTATATCCATTTTCAATATTTTTGTAGAAAAAAATTTCATCGCTCTCGTTAGCAACTCCATACCATATGGTATCTCCTTCGTTGTTTAGTCATTTTCAGAAATTTTTGCACAAAAGGAACAATTAAATCAATATCTATTGGATTTCAAAATTTTCTGGGGGAAACAATTTCAAACCTCTCGTTACCAACTCTATACCATACTATACCACCCTGGTATGAGGTGGTATTTTTTCATACCATATGGTATGTTGTTATTTAATACCATATGGTATTGACTGGTACTAAATAACAACATATGATATTGACTGGTATTTTTCATACCATATGGTATGTTGTTATTTCATACCAGTCAATACCATATGGTATAGACTGGTAATAACTGACAAAATTTTTTTGTTCCAAAAAATATCAAAGTGGATATCATTTTGAAGAGCACAATTAATCTGATCTAACTATGCAAAAAAAATTAAATTCCGAGCTAAAAAGAGTGAGAAATCGTCCGTTAAAGATTAAGGAAAAGAAAATTAATGATTTTTCTAGAAGAGAGAAGGAGGCGCTAATGTGGCAGATTCTTATTGGGTTATGCATGGAGTTACTCACCACAAGGTTCCTCACCGGATCTGCTCCCGATGGGTTTCCGAAAAAATGGGCCTTATGCTATTCTGTCGTATGCTATAGTGAAAAACTTGTGGCTTAATTATTCTAATTAGAAGTGGATGCTTGATTAGCTGAAAAACAGGTGAGATTCGGGTCTATCTTAGAGAGCATACCACATAGGGGTGTCAGTCGGTCGGTTTCGGTTTAACCGAAAACCGAATTCTCGGTTATCGGTTAAACCGAGCGACCACCCCTGGCTACCGACCACCGACCGTGAAAGATACAGCGGTTAGCCGACCACCGACCGGTCGGTTGGCCGGTTTTGGTTCGGTTAGTCTCAAACCCGAAAACCACACCCTTATCTGGGAAAAAAAAAAAAAATCCAAAAATCCTCCTACCACTCATTCTTTATCTGCTCAATCCTTCTCTCTCCCATCCTCAATCCAAAAGAAATCCAAAAGTCCTTCTCTCTCCCATCCATCAATGGAACTCTGCTTCTACCAAAAAAAAAAAATCAATGGAACTCTGCCGAGTTCGCCGACACCCCGCCATCCTCACCGTGTTCGACGACCGTCTGGCCCCCGACTACGCCGCCTCCCTCGGCCGGCACCCCGCCGTCCTCGCCGTGTTCGGCGACCGCCGCCGGGAGCTTCACACCACCAGATCCCCTCAGTTCCTCGGCCTCCGAAACCAGCGCGGGCTCTGGTCCGAGTCCGACTACGGCTCCGACGTCATCATCGGCGTCTTCGACAGCGTCTGGCCCGAGCGCCGGAGCTTCTCCGACGCGAATCTCGGCCCCGTTCCGTCCCGGTGGAAGGGGATCTGTCAAATCGGAGCTTCTTTCTTCTTTCTTCTTCTTCTTCTGGGTGTTCATTTTGAGAGGTGAAAGGGAAGAGAAGAGAGGTAGTATGACGGAAGAGAAGAGGGTCTTCTTTTTCTGGATTTTCATTTTGAGAGATGAAAGGAAAGAAAAGAGAGAGAGGAGGAGAGAAGAGGGTCGGGACGTCGGCTAGGGTTTGGGGGGTCGTTTGGAGAAGGGGCTGGGTCGTTTAGGAGGCTGGGGTAAAGGCTCGGTTAGCCGGCTAACCGTCGGTTTCCGACCTCGGTTGGTCGGCTAGCCGAGCCTTCTCCCCTCGCTACCGACAACCGACCGAATGTAATTAAGAACGGTTTTCGGTTAGCCGAAAACCGGTCGGTTCGGTCGAAACCGACCGGTTAGCCGCTAACCGGAAAACCGATTGCCAGCCCTAATACCACATAATACAACCCCTCTAATAGTGAAAAGTAACGTGAGGTTGTTTCCGAAAAAATTGGGCCTTATTCTATTTTGTCGTATGCTACAGTGAAAAACTTGTGGCTTAATTATTCTAATAATAATTCAACGTTGTTTTTAATTTACTGAAGTTCTCCCATAAGTAGCATTTTGTTGCTAATTTCCCAATTCTTATAGGATCTGTGAATAAGTGCTAGAATACCATTTTCTATATGCCCTACGCACCAAGAGATCATTAACCACGAATCACTTATTTGACTAAAACTTACTTTTATGTAGGTGTTTACTGCTAAAAATTATCTTATATCACCTTGATAAATTACAAGATAAATTATCTTATATCACAACTATAAAGTCAACTTAATTATAATAATTAATGTTATTTAAACTGGATCTCATGGTACTAGATTTTACGCTCCAATGACTAAGTCCCCGAGAGGACACTGCGGTCGCGATTAGACAACCATGTGGTTAGGAGACAAGCCATTGCCTGTTACGAGGACACGACCACGCGATTGTGAGGAGAAGACCCGCGATAGTGGTCATAAGGGTACGAGGAGACCGCGTGGAGGCGACCACATGGTCGCAATGAGGCGAGACAACCACGTGGCCGTGAGTTAAGAAGCAAATTCACGCGATGAAGTGAGATGGTCGACAGAGATAGAGTTTCCCAAAACCATACAACTGACGCCTACATCAAGTTTTATCTTTCTCTGCAAATGTAGTCATAGTCGTATTTTGGAGCTCTAATTGAACCTTCATAGGAGAAGGAGTAATTTAACTTAGTTTTTTTTTCCCAAAATAATCAATCAAACACCCTCATTAGAACTTTGTTTGAAGAGGTGTGAACCGTGTATTAGTAATTGTTGTTCACTTGTCCGTAGACGTCAACGTACAATTAATCTCAATTCAACGCGACTTTTCCCACCGGAAAACAAATTAGCACACCTAGTTTGACCTTGTATTTGATTGGATGGCTCCTAGCCAAAATAATCAAGAAGGTGATCTACCACAAGGGTTTGTGGAAGAAGAGCATATGGCCAGCAGTGAAAGAGGCAAAATTGGAGGAACTTCAGGCAACCATGTCGGATTAGAGATGCCACTTATGTCGGCACGAAGTGTAAATATCGGTGAGGAATAGGGGTGGGCATTCGGTCGGTTCGGTTTCGACCGAACCGAAATTATGAATACCGGGTCCCCGGATTTTCCCAAACCTCAAACCGAATTCGAACCGAATTATAGTTCGGTCGGTTTAAACCGAATTATAATTCGGTTCGGTTCGGTTTTCACACAAAACCGAATTTGTGAAGCTACTTGTATTTTCTCACTTTTAAATTATTTTTCACCCCTAATATAAACAATAAATACCAATTATATGCACCATCAATGATAAAACCAAAATTTTCAACACATAAGTCTTAAAATATTTCAAATATTTAAGTCTAAAAACAACTACAAACATAAAAATCTACCATTTGGAGCTTGCAATTATAGTATTTTGGTTTTTCGGTCGGAATTTCGGAAATTCGGTTCGGTTGAAAGAACCCTGATTTCCGAACTATCCATATTTTTCTTCTGAATTCCGAACCGAATAGCATTAATTCGGTTTCGGTTCAGTTTAATTCGGTTTCGGTTCGGGTTTACCGAACCGTTTGCCCACCCCTAGTGAGGAAGTTGTGTCACTTCGCTGAATGATAGATGAGAGTTGAAAGAGGATGGAGGATAATGACAAGAGGATGAATGAGAACATCCAGTCCTTGGAGGCTCGCGTTGTCAGCCTTAGCCGAAGCACTCAACAAGTAGAACTTCATCTAACATCTCTTGATGAACGCTATGAGTATTTAAATTATAGGGTCGATGCATTTGAGTCAATTGATTGAAGATTTCATTAGAAGATTTCAATGAATTTTGGTGTTTTTTAACACACCACTAATGCAGTCAAGAGCTTTGCCATCTGATGGCACAAACTCGATACCCAACAACACTACATGGATAGTAGTTGACTTCGCAAGCCTAAGTGTGGTCTCCAACAACATGAGGAAAGTAAACATATGTCAACAAAGAGGCAACCCAGATAGAGGAAGGTGGGCAAGGGAGAGGAGCATGGGATCCCATGCAATTCAAAAGATTCATGTCGTTTATGCATGGTTTTTCTGGTTTGATTTATAGACTTGACAGTGGGTTTACACCTTTAGCACTTTGATTGTTGCCAAAGGTTACGGAGAGTAGTGACATATGTAATCCTTACCATATTAAATAAATATAATAGATATATATTAAATAATAAAAAAGCCAATCATGACTTAAAATGAGATGAACATCAATGTAAGGATCTTTTCACCAAGTCATTGTGATGGATATATATTAAATAATAAAATAAGCCAATCATGGCTTAAAAATTAGATGAACTTCGATGTAAGGATCTTGTCACCAAATCGTTGTGATAGCTTGACATGTTGAGCCTTGTCTCGTTTTCTTGAGCATGTCATACCATATCGTCTAGGTAGCCATGAACTTCTTGTGGAATTCATGGTGTGGGGGCATCGTGGTTTGGAGGCGAGTGATGGCTAGCTTGGAAATCTGGATAAAAAAATTGAACTAGCTTGCGGGGAAGGAGGCCTTGTGAGGATTGTTCAAAGACAAAAATATTCCAAGTTGGCTTGGCCTCTAGTCAATGTTAGTTGAGGAAGGGGCTCGAGTTTGAATTAATTACTTGTTTTAAGGCTAAGGGCGAGTAAGATGGGAAGCAAAGGTTATCTTCACGGAGGGCCTCGACTGGTTCTTTTAGCCGAGGCGCCAACGGAAAAGTTGCACGAGGGCAATTTGAGTGGCCGCGTGAGGGCTTGGCCTTGGTTAGTGATGGCAATGGGGCGGGGCGGGGCGGGTACCTCAATTTCCATGCCTCGTCCCACGCTACTATGGGTCGGGGCGGGTAAAACCCACGCGGGTACGGGGCGGGGTGGGTCAACCCACTCTTACATATTGTTCAAAACAAATAGGGTTATAGGTAGAATATGCCCCTCTACTATGACGTTTTATCAAACATGCCCTTCTACTATTTTTTACATCAAATATGCCCCTGTACTTTGAAAAAATTATCAAACATGCCTTTATGTTAAAATTTTCATTGAAAAAATCGTCAATCGTGGTTGAACCGACATTTAGATGACCGGACATCGGCAAATGGGAGGAAGAATGTCAGTTTTGTCCCCTATTTTATTTCACTGGGTATTTTCAAAGTGAAATTATTTGAATGATTTGATTATACAAAAGAACGAAAAAAATTCTAAAGTGAATTTATTATGGATATTTTAGTCATTTGTGTCGCCCAAACTAAAGTTCGACCTTGGTTAACGGTTTTTGGATGAAAATTTTAACAAAAGGGTATGTTTGATCATTTTTACAAAGTACAGGGGCATGTTTGATGTAAAAAATAGTAGAGGGGCATGTTTGATAAAACGTCATAGTAGAGGGGCATATTATACCTATAAACCAAACAAATACAAGTAAATTTTACATTTTACAATAAAACGTAGGGGAAAATACTTTAAAAATGAAAAATATTGATAAGAGAATGGATAATTGAGCCTAACAAGTTGAAAGATTGACTCTAACTAGTTGAAGAAAAGTCAAAATAGGAGAAATATGTATAGATATTGTAAGAAATTGAGATAAAATGAGTCTAGAACGGGGCGGGCGGGGCAGGGCGGGTCGGAAGTAGATACCCATGCCCCGCCCCACGCTGCTACGGGTCGGGTAATACCCGCCCCATCGCGGGTCAGGTCGGGTAATACCCGCGGGGCGGGTTGAAATTGCCATCACTAGCCTTGGTGTGTATCTTAAAAAAAAAATCTAAGTCTTTATATTTTGGCTTCCTAATCTATTGGAGCAAGGAAAGAAATGATACTTAGGAATCTCGTATTTGTGTATGAGTGAGGCAACGCAATAGCCAAGGTGAAAGAGTTTTAGTTGCCTTTGCTTTCCTTTTTGGCAAGATTGTGTTTTATTACAAATTGTCCATTGCATGACCGGCTAGTATGAGGCAGAGGGGTAATGTAGTCAAAATCGTGTTTTTACGTAAAACCAAAAAGTGAGGTAAAATTGTAATTGTAGATTAAAATCGTAAAATCATAATATTTTAAGGTTCATCCTAAAATTAACACGTAAAACACCGAATTATAATAACAATGCATATCTTGAATAACATTGAATTACATGACACTTAATTACTTTTCAAGATAACTTTATCTGCCAAATAAACCCATAGAGCTATTTTTTACATAACATAAACACAAAAACACTACAAGAAACATAATTATCTTAAAGAATGACCACAAAAACATCATTATCTATCAGTTAACAGTTAACACCATAATATTAGGACGGATCCGGTCAGTAATCTTGTGGTGAGTAATCATGCATAATCCAATCACCATCCGCCACATCAGCACCCCTTCTCTCTCCTGAAAAACCTTTAATTCCCCTCATCAATTTTCAGCGGACGATTTCTCACTCGTTTTAAATAGGAATTTAATTTTTTTACACAGTTAGATTAGATTAATTGTGCTCTTCAAAATGATATCCACTTTGATATGTTTTTGGAATAAAAAAAATTGATCCATTTTTTACCAGTCTATATCATATGGTATTGACTGATATTGAAATAAGAGCATATTATATGGTATGAAAAGAGTACCATGATGATATGAACATACCAAGATTGTAAGATGGTTGAATACATAATAGTAGGAGTATACTAACTGTCATTTACGACTTTTAACATTGTGAACATAAGATACCACCCTGTACCAGGGTGGTATTGTGTGGTATTTTTTTGTCTTGTATTTTGTTCACCCATAAATTTTTAGATCGAATAGATCATGATGTACTCGTTCTTTCTGTGCAAAATTTTTTCAAAAACGACTTTAAAACGAAGAAGATACTATATGGCATGCAGTTGGTAACGAGAGGCAAGAAAAAAAATTTCTAAAAAATATTGAAAATGGATCTCATTTTGTAGAGCACAACGAACTCGTTCCATCTGTGCAAAAAAAAAATTTGAAATCCGAGTTAAAACGAAGAATATGTGCGGGAAAATAAAAATGAGTTTACTTCTCCACCTTTAGATCTGGATTTTCTGAATTAAAGGTTCAAATTTAGTTACTAATTGGTGCATAGGCCTAAGTAACTTTCTGTATCACGCAATTATTTTAATACATAAGGCCTGCTATATTGCGACTACGCATTTCTGCTTGTGGGTTGAATAAGGATCCCTAGGGGCTACCGAAGTAAAGTGTTGTCTCCATTATTGAAAAAGGAAATAAGTTATGGTTGCCACTGCACTAATTCATAACCAAGGAAACAAAACTGCAGCCTTTTGTGGAATCGGGACTGACGAGTAGTGATGGCAATGGGTCGGGTTGGGTCGGGTTTTGCCAAACCCAAATCCATGGGTTTATCCGTAAAAAAAATTCGGAGTAAAACCCACTGGGTTTTAAAAAGTCAAACCACCTGCTGGGTATCTGCGGGTTCATGGGTACCCATGGGTTTTTGTCATAAAAAATTTCTATCAAAATTAAAGTCAAATATCAATCTCTCAATACAAATTATCCATATATGAAACACCATTTTAGAAAATTCAAGCAAATCACAATTTAACTATACAAATTGTTCAACATCAATCTAGAAAACTCAAGAAAATTGAAGCAAATCACAAATTATCCATAAATAACATGATTAATTGAAAGTTTCTTCCTCCTTGTCAATTTAAGTTTCTTCACTTTCCACTCGATACAATCATCTTCATTCTACACAATTTGAAAGATAAAATTAGACATGTCTCCACAAACATAAATAAGATTAGTTGTTTAGAATATTAAATATACCGAGAAACTTAATTATATGGGTGTGGGCGGGTACCCATGGGGCGGGTTTACCTAAACCCAAACCCAACCCGATGAATAGTGAACGGGTTTATACACAAAACCGGCCCAAAACCCGTTAACACGGATTTTACCCGCGTTGACAGGGTTGGGTCGGGTGGGTACCCGTGGGTTTGGGTTTTGTTGTCATCCCTACTGACAAGGGTATTTAAGCTCGGGACTGAATATTGGGGTTTCGTCCGTTCATGGGAAAAATTGACCTGGTTCGCCTAAATTTGCTTCAATTTACTTGAACATTGAAATCATACAAAATCATATAAATTGTAGATTATATGAATTTTACAGTTTTAAATCATAATTTTATTGGAGTTTATGGTTCAAAGATTTAGTAATAAAATCAGGACCAGAACTCATTGGTAAGATCATAAAATCATAAGTTTTTAATCTTAAAATCGGGATTTTGACTATAATGGGGGTATTTTTTTACACCTAAAAATTATATTGTACCACATTGATGAGTTACAAGGTAATTAATTCTCTTATAAGACCAAGTTAATTATAATAATTATTTAAAAGCTGCTTCATGCACTACAAGAAAAATGTTATTCTGCGACCATTGTTGGCGACCATTTAAAAACATGGTCGCCAATAATGTCATTATGCGCCACCACAATTTAAAAAAGGTCGCGAATTATCAAATATTTGAAGAGAACCTTTTGGTGGGTTTACTTTATCAAGGCGGGAAGATGAAAACATTTTGGCGGCCATATTTTCTTTTTCGGCGACTATACAGTTAGACGCAAATTATTAAAATTTCAGCGACCATTTAATCTGGTCGCCTATGATTAAATCCCATAAGTTTAATGCATAAATGTTCATACAAATCATAGTAGTTTGATAGGAAGATTTGGTTTGTATAATGGCATATTACTTTCTATTAGGTTTGTTTGCAGCTCTAACACTAGTTGATTGTTACATTATCTCCATTGTATACTCCC